CACTGGCACTGCCAAGGATAAATGCCCTCTGTCTTACTGGGAGAAGTCACACCATCTGTCCATCCATCTGTCTGACGCAGCTTTCTGGTTCCCCGTGCCTCCATCATGTCTCGGACCCCCTCTGGCAGCCCTGCGGATCATGAGCCCTTTTTCCTGGAATACCGATGCCACCCGGTGCAGCAGGAGCCCCCCAGCCCCACCTCCCCCCTCAGGAAGCACAACTCCACCACGGCGCCCAATGCCACCTCACTCTCGGCCATGGGCTCCCCCACCTCGGCTGAGCCGCGCCGCATCGTCCTCAGCACGGACAGCCCGGCCGCGCTGAAGGTGGGAACCCAGCAGCTGATCCCCAAAAGCTTGGCCGTCTCCACCAAGACCAAGAACAACCCCTCCCGGCACCAGAGTGTTGGGGCAACCGGGTCCAACCGGGACCCCCCGGGCACTGACCCCAAGAGGACGTCCGTCCCCAGCATCTCCCTGGAGGAGGAGGTGGAGGAGGATGGAGGGGGGCTCCTCAAGCGCAACCTGAGGAACATGTCCTACCGAGCGGCCATGAAGAGCCTGAGCACGGAGCCGGAGTTGGCCAACACCACCTCGTTGCTGAAACCTGGGTCAGAGGAGAGCAGTGCCCGGCGTGACCGCAGCCCCGGCAGGAACAAGGTGGGTTTTGCACCCACTGTCACCTCATTGTGGGTCGAGTGGGGATCAAACCCCCCTTTTTCCTAGTGCTGGGAGGGTCTGCAGAGCCTTTTTCCTCCAACTCCTGTCCATCGCAGAGCTGAGTGCACCCAGCATGGAGCTGGCAGGGCTCGGTGATGTGGTTTGTGCCTTGGGAAGCCCGTGTGTCACCAGCAGGTCTCTGGGGAGCCTGGAAATTACCAACGTGGCTTTGGTGGGGGGTGAAACTGGCTGCTCCGGGGCTCCCGCTGGCTCCTGGCAGGCAGCCGTGGGCATGTTTGCAGGGAGGGGTTGGCCGGGTGTTGTGGCTCCAGGGTGGGGGTTGGTTGTGCACAAACATGGGTGAAGCCAGGTCCGGGGCAACGGGAGACTCCAGGTGAAGGCAAAGTCCAGGTGTGAGACGGGGAGATGTGAAAGGCGGCGGTAACGTGGAGTGGTTCAGATGGTGACCCCGATAGCGCGGGGTGAAGGCTGAGTCACCTCAGTACAGCAAACACGGGCTCAGACAGAAATGGAGTGGAAGGAACAGGGTGGTACACGCTGACTGGCTGCCCAGGTGACTTCTCCTCCTCCTCCTCCTCCTCCTTCCCGGAGGAGCTAAAAGGTGTATTTCTGGCCGCAGAAAATGAGTCGCCGCAACACGTTCTCCTCTTCTTCCTCCTGCAGAGAACCTTCGGGAGGAAGCGGGTGCAGAAGCGCGGCGGCTCGTTCAAGGACCGTGAGTGCTGCTCCCCAGAGCTGCGGTGTCCCCTCTGCCTCACAGGGCACCCGGGGCTTCCCAGCCAAGTGAACCCCTCAGAGTCCTTTCACAGAATTACATGGGGTTGGAAGGGACCTCTGGAGGTCATCTCCTCCAGCCCCCTGCCAGAGCAGGGTCCATCCAGAGCAGGTCCCACAGGAACATGTCCAGGCGGGTTGGAATGTCTCCAGAGAAGGAGACTCCACCACCTCCCTGGGCAGCCTCTTCCAGGGCTCTGCCACCCTCACAGGAAAGAAGTTCCTCCTCATGTTTAGGTGGAACTTCTTACATTCAAGTTTGTGCCCGTTTCCTCTTGTCCTGTCCCTGGGCACCACTGAAAAAAGACTGGCCCCATCCTCCTGACACCCACCCTTGAAGTATTTATAGTATTTAAGTTGATCAGATTCCCCCTCAGTCTTCTCTTTTCCAGACTAAAAAGACCCAAGTCCCTCAGCCTCTCCTCGTAAGGGAGATGCTCCAGGCCCCTCATCATCTTTGTAGCCTCTGCTGTCCCCTCTCCAGCAGTTCCCTGTCCTTCTGGAACTGGGGAGCCCAGAACTGGTCCCAGTGCTCCAGATGGGGCCTCTCCAGGGCAGAGCAGAGGGGCAGGATGACCTCCCTTGTCCTGCTGCTCACACTCTTCCTGATGCCCCACTGGCCTTCTTGGCCACCAGGGCACCTTGCTGGCTCACGGGCATCCTATTGTCCACCAGGACTCCCAGCTCTTTCTCCTCAGAGCTGCTCTCCAGCAGGTCACTCCCAACCCGTCCTGGTGCAGGGGGTTATTTCTCCCCGGGTGCAGCTCCCTACACTTGCCTTTCTTGAAGTTCATGAGATCCTGCTGCGTCTCCCTGGCCTGGGGACAAGCTTTTGCCTTGTTTCCCCCCCAGCAGCCAGGGGAGCGTGCCAGCCCTGCCTTTCCCACTCCCTGGGGTGGGATGAAGCTGCTGAGCTCGCAGCTGCAGGGCTCCCAGCTTTGCTTGTCCCCGGGCAAACACGGGAGAGCTGTGGGAAGCTCTGGGGAGCTGCTGGTTAATTGGGGCTGTGCAAAGTCCGACCTTGGTGAGGAGGTGCTGGCTGGGGCTCCTGGCCAACGGGGCAAGGCGGTGGGAAGGGAATCCATGGTCCCCAGCTGGGAGAGGCTTTGCTGACCTCCTGCCTTTCCCTCTGCAGAGCCCCGGCTCTATCAGGAAATCCGTGAGAGAGGGCTGAACTCCGTCAGCCATGAGTCAGATGAGGATGTGCTGGAGGAATCCATCCCAGAGGAACCGTCCCCGTCGGGCACTGCTATCGTGGTGCAGAGCTATCGCCCAGCACAGGTCACCTGGAGCCAGCTCCCGGAGGTAGGAACAGCAGCTTGGCCCCGAGAGTCCAAATGCCCCCTCTTGCCCTGGCCATGGGCTGCTCCTGTGCTCGTGGTGTCTTGTGGCCACAGCTGAGTGTGTTTTCAAAGCTGCCTGAGCTGCCAAACAAGCCATGAGTGGGTAGTTCTGCAGCCCTGGTCTTTGTGGTGGGATGTTCTGGGGTTGTCCAGCCCCGGCTGGGACACGCAGGGGCCTGTCCAGGCTGGTTGGGTGCCTGTGGAGCTGCTGTGGTTGTGCACACCCAGGGATGGGGGAAAGGCAGATGCTCCTGCTGGACACCTGGGCTTTGCCTGCTGGCCCTGGGGGAGAGTGATCTCCTCCTGCGGAGTGGCATCAGCCAACTGCCGTGGGCTGTGGAGCTGTGGGAGGTGGTGGGGCAGTGGGAGGTGGTGCTACTGCTGGAGATGGTGCGGTGGGAGGTGGTGGTGGTGGTGCGGTGGGAAGTGGTGGTGCTGCGGTGGGAGATGATGTGGTTGGAGATGGTGGTGCTGCGGTGGGAGATGCTGCGGTGGGAGGTGGTGGTGGTGGTGCTGTGGTGGGAGATGCTGCAGTTGGAGATGCTGGTGCTGCAGTGGGAGATGATGGTGTGTGCTGGGAGATGGTGCAGTGGGAGATGCTGCTGCAGGAGACGGTGCTGTGGTGGGATCTGGTGGGCTGTGCAGGGCTGGACCGCACTAGAGGGCGTTCAAGGACCATCGGTGGGGGCGAAGGCAGCGGCTGATGTGGCCTCTCGCCCGCAGGTGGTGGACTCAGGCATCCTGCAGAAGATCTCCCCCGAGGAACGCAAGCGGCAGGAGGTGAGAGGAGCCTTTGGGGTTCCCAGGAGTGCAGTGGGGACACACGGGGCTGAGTGTGGGACCTCTCATGCAGGGGATGGCCCAGAGCAGGGCTCTGGCTTGTGGTCCTGCTGCCTTGAGAGGAGCCTTTGGGGTTCCTGGGAGTGTGGTGGGGACACATGGGGCTGAGTGTGGGACCTCTCACGCAGGGGATGGCCCAGAGTAAGGCTCTGGCTTATGGTGCTGCTGCTTCCAGCAGCTCTGGGACTGGGCAGTGCTGGGAGGGCTCACCAGCTCATCTTGGTGGGGAAAGCAGGCAGCTCCTTCGGATGCTGGTGGAAAATACCCACTGGAAGGGAAAACATCTTAGTGCTGTGGCTTATTAATGCCTGAGTGTAGTAAAACATGCTGTAGTTATGGTGTAGGTTATGCTGAAGTTGGTGTAGGCCAGGCAATGCATGAGATGATCCAAGGAATGCTTTACTCTTGGAGCAAAGACACTTCCAGTGGCTTCGTGCCAACCGAATGTAAATAAGATACAGCACGTTTTAATTCACTGCCTTGGTTAGTCAGTTTGAGCTGTTACACCTTCACTGCCCTGCTTTTTTTTTTTTCTTTTAAGTGGTGGTGCTGCGGTGGGAGATGATGTGGTTGGAGATGGTGGTGCTGCGGTGGGAGATGCTGCGGTGGGAGGTGGTGGTGGTGGTGCTGTGGTGGGAGATGCTGCAGTTGGAGATGCTGGTGCTGCAGTGGGAGATGATGGTCCGAGAGTCCAAATGCCCCCTCTTGCCCTGGCCATGGGCTGCTCCTGTGCTCGTGGTGTCTTGTGGCCACAGCTGAGTGTGTTTTCAAAGCTGCCTGAGCTGCCAAACAAGCCATGAGTGGGTAGTTCTGCAGCCCTGGTCTTTGTGGTGGGATGTTCTGGGGTTGTCCAGCCCCGGCTGGGACACGCAGGGGCCTGTCCAGGCTGGTTGGGTGCCTGTGGAGCTGCTGTGGTTGTGCACACCCAGGGATGGGGGAAAGGCAGATGCTCCTGCTGGACACCTGGGCTTTGCCTGCTGGCCCTGGGGGAGAGTGATCTCCTCCTGCGGAGTGGCATCAGCCAACTGCCGTGGGCTGTGGAGCTGTGGGAGGTGGTGGGGCAGTGGGAGGTGGTGCTACTGCTGGAGATGGTGTGGTGGGAGGTGGTGGGGGTGGTGCGGTGGGAAGTGGTGGTGCTGCGGTGGGAGATGATGTGGTTGGAGATGGTGGTGCTGCGGTGGGAGATGCTGCGGTGGGAGGTGGTGGTGGTGGTGCTGTGGTGGGAGATGCAGCGGTTGGAGATGCTGGTGCTGCGGTGGGAGATGATGGTGTGCTGGGAGATGGTGCAGTGGGAGATGCTGCTGCAGGAGAGGGTGCTGTGGTGGGATCTGGTGGGCTGTGCAGGGCTGGACCGCACTAGAGGGCGTTCAAGGACCATCGGTGGGGGCGAAGGCAGCGGCTGATGTGGCCTCTCGCCCGCAGGTGGTGGACTCAGGCATCCTGCAGAAGATCTCCCCCGAGGAACGCAAGCGGCAGGAGGTGAGAGGAGCCTTTGGGGTTCCTGGGAGTGTGGTGGGGACACATGGGGCTGAGTGTGGGACCTCTCACGCAGGGGATGGCCCAGAGTAAGGCTCTGGCTTATGGTGCTGCTGCTTCCAGCAGCTCTGGGACTGGGCAGTGCTGGGAGGGCTCACCAGCTCATCTTGGTGGGGAAAGCAGGCAGCTCCTTCGGATGCTGGTGGAAAATACCCACTGGAAGGGAAAACATCTTAGTGCTGTGGCTTATTAATGCCTGAGTGTAGTAAAACATGCTGTAGTTATGGTGTAGGTTATGCTGAAGTTGGTGTAGGCCAGGCAATGCATGAGATGATCCAAGGAATGCTGTACTCTTGGAGCAAAGACACTTCCAGTGGCTTCGTGCCAACCAAATGTAAATAAGATACAGCAAGTTTTAATTCACTGCCTTGGTTAGTCAGTTTGGGCTGTTACACCTTCACTGCCCTGCTTTTTTTTTCTTTTTTTTTTTTCAGGCCATGTTTGAGATCATCACTTCTGAGTACTCCTACATGCACAGCCTGAGCATCCTGGTGGGCCACTTCATGAAGTCGGAGGAGCTGAAGGGGACCATGACTCAGATGGAGCACCACCACCTCTTCTCCAACATCAACGACGTCCTGATGGTCAGCACCAGGCAAGTGGGGGCCGTCGGTGTGGGGTGGGGACCAGAGGAGGGACTCTGGAGCTCCATTTATGTGCCGTGTTAAACCAGGCATCCCTTGGATTTGTTGAAGAGACATCCCACCTATTGCCCTTCTTCCTAGTGCCAAGTCTTTGCTCCCCTGCAGTGCCTTCCTGCTGTTACATGCTCGGGGCCTGAATATCTTGTGGGAGATGGTCTGTTACCCTGACACCCACTGTTTTTAATGGTTTATAATGGTGGTGCTCAGTTGTGTGGTTGCCATCAGGCGCCGAGAGCTGGCTGAGCCGCCGTCCCTGTGCTCAGGACACTCCTCTTTGCCTGGAAACTCCTCCTTGGGTGGAGGAGGAAAAGTGAAAAAACTGCAATTACCCCTTCAAAGAGCCAGGGTGAGCGTGGCCTTTGCACCCTGGGAGGTGGGGAGCAAACGCCTTGGGAGCGGGTGCTCAGGGTGGCTGGGATCTGTGTCCACGTGGGAGAGAGGAGGAGGAGGAGAGCACGGGCCTGGGAACTGCTGCGGGGGCGTTGAGGGCTCGTGGCTTCTGCAGCCAGGCAGCAGTGTCCCGGACAGGACAGAAGGGAATATTCCTGGAGAGACCAAGTGGAGGAGGGATCTCATGTGGGTCTGGGTCTGGGGATGCTCCAGAGCTGTGTTCCCCATCCCTGGGGACATGGGGGTCCCAGCTGCGTGGGGCTGACCAGGGCCTTGTCTCCTCTGGGAAAACCGGAAAAGTTGCAGTGGGAACATCATCAAACATCCCTCTGTTTGGTTTTTGTTTGGTTTTTTTTTTTGGTTTATTTTTTCCTGGCCCTGATGAGTCATGTAGTGAAGTTCTTTGAAACTCTCTCCTTAGCTTCTTCGAAGACTTAGAGAAGCGGCACCAGGAGAACCCCCTCATCCCTGACATCAGTGACATCGTGGAGGAACACGCCTCCAACCGCTTCAGCCCCTACATCAGCTACTGCTCCAACGAAGTCTACCAGCAGAGGACTCTCCAGACGCTGCTGTGAGTACAGCTGAGCTCCAGCCTTGGGCTTGCAGAGGGGTTGTCCAGGAGGGCTTTCTGCTGGGCCACAGGGGTGGCCAGCTGGCTGCAGATGGGACCGGGACCTGCCTGTGGCTCCCCCAGCCTCTGGTTGTTTCCTTTTCCCTAATCTCCTTTCTGAGCAGAGTTTCTCCTAGAGCTCAGTGTGTCGGGTGATGAGGATGCAGTTTGTGTTGCACAGTAAAGGATGGGGATAAGTTGGGGAGATGCCACCACGTACTGAAGGCGGATGGGTCTTGCCAAGGTCAATAACACATACGTGGTCTGTTAGGGACACGTATGGAAGTTGTTCAGCTCCAGATCATACTGGTGGTACAGGTCAAGTGTGTTTGCTGTTGGTACATCTAAGGCTTTACCTGCTTTTTGATGGACTCATCATACTGGTGGTACAGGTCAAGTGTGTTTTGCTGTTGGTACATCTAAGACTTTACCTGCTTTTTGGTGGACTTGACACCTCTTGATGCTTTTCCACCCACCCACAAACGGATCAGTCCCTTCCCACCCCAGGTCAGAGCTCAGGCTGCCCTTGGGCACCAGAGGTAGGGCCCTCTCTGCTCTGCATTGCTCCTGCATGGAAAGCTGCTGGAAAAATCCTGATAGCTGAAGAACAAAGTTAATGGAGCTTTCTTGTCCTGTTCCAGAACCGCAAACCCCTTATTTAAAGAGACCTTGAAACAAATTGAAAGGAAACCAGAGTGTGGAGGCCTGCCAATGTCATCATTTCTCATTCTCCCTATGCAGAGGGTAACTCGGCTTCCCCTGCTGTTAGATGTAAGTAAGATACACGGTGGCATCGCTTGGCACCTCTGGAGAGGTGACAGTGTTACACCCTTCTCTGCTTTCCTGAGCCCGGGACTGTCTTCTGCTCGGCCTTCCATCCTCCTGGGAGCTGAGACTGGGATGTCCCAGCCTCTGTTTGGGATTTATTAGATCCAGAGTGATCTGCTTCTTGGTGGGTGTCAGATGTGAATAACCCTCACGTCTCAGCACCGTCCACCTGAATGACACAAGGTTCCTCTGTGCCCCCTGCTGCATCTGGGCACCCAGAGAGGGGTGGCACGAGCCTCCTGTTCGATTAATGGTCGGGTGGTCCAGGAAGGGAGAGCAGCTTTTGCACAAGCTTCACCGAAATCTGGGACTGGGAAGAGCAAAGCTGCTGGACTTGGGGTTCCAGTAACTGCTCCCGGTCTGTAATGGGCTGCAGGAGACGGGACCAGGGGGAATGCCCAGCACGGGGGTGGTGCTCAGGCACAAATCTGATGGTGAAGCCCCAGCAGAGACCAGATGTGCAGCTAAACCTTGCTTTGTGCCTGTCCTGCTGCCAGGCTGATGGCAGGGGACGGCTCGAGCCGTGTCACATCCCAGGGGAGCGGTTGGTGCGCAGGCCTCTGTCCCACCGTGTCACTAAAGCGCCTTGTCTTGACGTTCTAGACTGTCTGTCAAAAAACAAAAGCATGCACTGCAGCGTACGGAGCTGCCACCAGAGCTCTGAAAGCCATCAGCAAGGTGAGGCCCCATGCCAGACCCCACCTTTCCTCCTTCCAGCCCACTGCTCTCTCACTCCAGTGACGTTCTGGCCTCTGGTTTTTCCTCCCTGTGTGGGTTCACTCGGGATTTCTCTGCTCCAAGTGGCTGCTGGATCCACACATCTTCCCCCTGGCTCACCTTTGCCACCTCATCTTGATTTTTTCCTTTTTCTTGCCATCTTTTCTTCTTTCCTCTTTGGCCCATCTTTTGTCCTTCCTTTCAACGTCGCCTTCTCCATGAGTGATGTCCCTTCTGAGAACCTCCCTCGACACTTACTTGCCATTTCTTTTTGGAGATTTAGGCAGAGAGGAGCAAAGAAAGCAAAGAGCAAAGCGTAGAGGATTGAAGGAGCAGTGGGAGCAGTGGCAGTCGTGTTCCTGTCTCTCATCTCCATCTGCTTTCCCATCTGGTGGTCACTCACACATGATGATGCACCACGGAGATTGGTGGTGGTGGCTCTTTCTTTTGTCCCCCTAAAGCCTGTCTGTGTCCCGCTCGCTCATCCATTGGGGGAACAAAACGCACAATTCCCCCCAGTTGGGCCACACTGGACCAACCTTTTCTGGACTGGAGGGATGGCTGGTGGTGGCACCTTCTCCGAAGAGCCATCACGAGGGGACATGGTGCCACAGGGCTGCCCGCTCAAAGTGGCATTGCCTCTCCTGCCTGTGGAAGGCTTCTGCCCTCCCTCCACCTGCCTGAGCGTTCACCCTCCTGTCTTAATTCTGATTAATTCTTCCTCTTCATACTGCTCCTCGGGGAAGCTCGATCTTGGCGTGGTTTGGACCCTCTCCAGGCAGAGGAAACGTGGAGTCTCTCTCCTGGAGATCTCTGGTGGCAGGAGAACCTCCAGCTGCCTTTCCCCAACCCCTTGGCCGTTTCTGCTGTTGAGGGAAGCACCAAGTGGGCTCAGCCTCCTGCCATTCCCCCCTTCCCTTGGGGTTGTTCTTCTTTTTCCAGTTGGTTAAGAGCTGCAACGAGGGAGCTCGCAGCATGGAGAGGACGGAGCAGATGTACACCCTGCAGAAACAGCTGGAATTTGGAATCCTCTTCATACTGCTCCTCGGGGAAGCTCGATCTTGGCGTGGTTTGGACCCTCTCCAGGCAGAGGAAACGTGGAGTCTCTCTCCTGGAGATCTCTGGTGGCAGGAGAACCTCCAGCTGCCTTTCCCCAACCCCTTGGCCGTTTCTGCTGTTGAGGGAAGCACCAAGTGGGCTCAGCCTCCTGCCATTCCCCCCTTCCCTTGGGGTTGTTCTTCTTTTTCCAGTTGGTTAAGAGCTGCAACGAGGGAGCTCGCAGCATGGAGAGGACGGAGCAGATGTACACCCTGCAGAAACAGCTGGAATTTGGAAAGAAGAAGGTGAGATCTTGTGGAAGTGGTTGGGGAAAACCTTCTGGGGTGTGCAGTGAGAGTGGCCCATCCCAGGCATGTCAGACCTGGCCCAGGAACCCTTCCAGCTGCAGCATCACTGCTGCCATGACCAGCATCACCCCTCCATGCCCCAGGAGACCAGTTTTTCCTGCTGTTGTCTTAAACCTGCCAGCTTGGAGGGTTCAGCAGGGTGGTCCTGGATGATCCACGCTCCCTCACAACCCTTCATTTCCTCCTCTACCTCACGCTGAGCTTTCACCTCCTGCACACGGTGGTGAGAGCTGGACTTGCCCTTGACACGAGGAGGTTTCTCCTGGTGGCTCAGCTGGCAGCAATCTCTGCCCACCTCCTGGAAAAGATGTGATGTGTCCGTCCCGACTGACCCCTGCAAGTTCAAAGACAGGTTGTGAACTTGATTTTTGCCTGCTGCCTGTGAGACAGACAGTGAGCCAGGCTTTCTGGGGATCCGTTTCAGCCTTTCCCACTGATTTCTGCGTCCCGCTGGCTGCTGAAGCGGGGGGAGCTCTACCTCCTCCTCTCAGAAGAAGCCGGCATCTTCCGCCGAGGCGCCGGCCGGCTCTGCTACCTCTTCTTGTTCAACGACGTCCTCATCATCACCAAGAAGAAGAGGTAAGTCTTTTGGGGGGGGTGGGGGGCATCCCTTCCTTTCCCTGCATTACAACAAGAGGGATTAAAAATCTCAATCTCCCCATCTCAACGGGGGTGGGGGGCATCCCTTCCTTTCCCTGCGTTACAACAAGAGGGATTAAAAATCTCAATTTCCCAAGCAGCGTGTAGCTTAAGCAATTCTTGAGATTCCCCTTTTTTTGACCTTTATTGAGGTGTCCCTTGTTAGGCAGAAGGGAAGTGCCTGGATCCACAGCACTTGACCCACCTTTGTGGGTGGCCAGCAACTCCACAGAGTCATGGCCCAGCCTTGGCCATCAACCCATGTCCTCACCATGATGGTCACCTCGGTGATGCCCACTGAACTCCACCCCCTGGGGCTCTGAGCTGGTGGTGGGAGGGCGCTTGGTCCCTGCTGGTGGCATCCCCTCCATGGCTGAGATGCTGGTCCTGTCTTTGCCACAGCGAGGAGAGCTACACTGTCATGAACTACGCCACGCTGGACCAGGTGACGGTGGAGAAGATGGAGAACGCCGACCCGCCTTCCCCCCCTCCCAGCAAGACGGGGAGCAGTGCCCCGTCCCGTGGGTACCTGCTGCGGGTGGTGATGGAGAGGGACAGCGAGGGCCGGCGGGAGGAGGTCGTGCTGTCGGCCGAGACGCTGTGAGTGGCCCCGTGGGGTGTCACAGGGGGCACCTTCTTGCTTGTGGGACAAAATGGGACCCTGGAAACTGCCCCCCCCAGAGGCTTCTGCAAAGCGCCTTTCTCTCCCTACTTGCACAGGCTGTTTCCTTCTCTTTTATATTCCCCATATATTCCCCATATATTCCCCATATATTCCCCATATATTCCTTTTCCTGGTGCCAGTTAAGCAAAGTGGCCGGGCGATGTGTGCATCGCACTTGTGATACGTCTTTGTGTTGCACGACCCAGATGCTTGTCCAGTCTGACTTCCCCTGAAAGCCTTCATCCTGCTGGGAATTTCCCAGCTACCTCTGGCAACACGGATGCTGCCTCTAAGGTTTCCTTTGTGATCTGGGCTTTCCCTCTGCCAGGAGTGACCGTGCCCGGTGGATCGCGGCGCTGATGCACCGAGAAAAGGAGAAGCCTGACACCACTCCTAAAGGAGGTACCGGGATGCTGGAGGTCAGGGGGTGAGCGGTCGTGCTGGAGCCTGAGCGTTTCCAGGCACAGGTTTTTACCCAATTCTTCCCCGCTCCTGCTGGAGAAGGGGCTGAGGATGTCGGTCCATGGAGAGAACCCACTTGATAGAGAGGAGAATGTGGCTCATTAGGAGTTGCCTCCTATGAAGTTATCAGTCACAATAAGCCTTCAGGACATTCCCTAGGAGGCACAGGGAAATTCCAGGAATGCCTCCAGCTGTAAGAAGAGATTTGGCTTCCCCTCCCCACGTGCTTGGAAGGGGCAGGAGGAGTGAGGAGGGGAAGGGAGTGGGGGGTGCCAGGCTGTGGCTGCCAGCCCTGCCTGCTCACTGGGTCCCTGCTCTCCTCCCCAGAGCTGAGCCAAGTGGAGATCACCCGTGCCTACATGGCCAAAGAGGCGGATGAGATCTCCCTGCAGCAGGCTGACGTGGTCCTGGTGCTGGGCGGCGAGGATGGTGAGTGTCAGCAGCTGGGGAAGGCTCCCCTTAGGCAGAGCAATGGTGGTGGGGTCGGGGGACTGGAAAACTGGAATTATGGCAATTTTCAGAAGCTTCCAGGAAGCCCTGGGCTGCTGGTGGGGTCCGTGTTGCCGGCTGGTGCTGTGTCCCAGCAGATGACAGTGGGTCCCCTTGGAGAGGCTGATGGAGGTAGCACTGCCATGGGTGGCTGGTGCGTAACCCATGACTCCTGTACTCAGGCTGAGTACAGAGACCATGAAAGTGAGAGAAATAAGCCCCAAAACAGGCAGTAAATCAGAATTTCACTGAATTTTTAGAGTTGGAAGGGACCATAGTCCATCTAGTCCAACTCCCCTGCTAAAGCAGGACCACCCAGAGCTTGTCAGAGCATGTTACTCAGGAGCATCCAGGTGGGGCTTGAAAATCTCCAAAGAAGGGGACTCCACACCCTCCCTGGGCAGCCTGTTCCAGGGCTCTGTCACCCTCACCATGAAAAAGTTCTTCCTCATATTTGAGTGGAACCTCTTCTGTTCCAACTTGTGCCCATTGCCCCTTGTCCTCTCACTGGCAACCACTGAAAAGAGTCTGGTTCCCTCCTCCCTCAGCCCGCCCTTGAGATACTTGTGGGCATTAATAAGGTCTTGTAGGCATTAATAAGGTCTGATAAGAAACCTGATCAAACCATCAGGTTACAAACCCCAGCAGAGCTTCCCCTGGCCCCTCCTTCCACCTGGGTCCCCGGGGAGCTGTAGGGATGTTCCTCCTGGTGTGACCAGCTTGAGATACTTGTAGGCCTTAATAAGGTCTTGTAGGCCTTAATAAGGTCTGAACTCTGTTCCTCCCCTAGGCTGGTGCTGGGGCGAGCGGCTGCGGGACGGGGAGCGGGGCTGGTTCCCCGGTTCCTGTGCCCGGGAGATCACCAGCCGCACTGCCGTGGAGTGCAACGTGCGCCGCATGGAGCGGCTGCGGATAGAGACCGACGTCTAGGTGGGCAGTCGAGGCAAGGTACCTCTGGCCTGACTTATTTCTGGGGGTCCTCAAACCCCCTCCCCAACCCCAGACTGAGCCCACAAGGAAGAAGGGAGCGAGAGATCCTTCCTCCTTGAATTTTGTTTGCCTTGAGCAGTCCTGGGCAGCAGATCTTATCCTTCAGGATGGGATTTTGGAGTGGTGGTGACGGCAGCTAATTAATATGAGTCCTGGCACCCGAGCGCTCCCAGCCAACACTAATGACCTGGGAGAGGCTTCAGGAAGCGGCCACGGTGTTGGCTCGGGTTGAAAAGGCTGCGCCGTGTCCTGGGCTCTGTGAAGGGCCTCGTGCTGCAGCATCTCTCCCTGCCAACCTCTCAGAGGCTGCACTTGTGTGGGAAGAGCCAGGGCATGGACAGACCATACCTCAATCAGGAATTTTTAAGAACTTCAATCTGCACGCTACGCTTGACCCTCCTTTTCCCTCCTGTTTTTTTTTTTTATTTTTTTTATATTTTTTTCAGTCATGGGGGTTCAAAGCCCATCCTTCCCATGGCAGAGTGGTGCCCTCTCCCACCCTTCTCCCCCAGAATTAGCACCAAAAAGTGATTAATGAAGAGGGCTGAGGCAGGGTGATTCTTTTGTCCCAGCTGGGCAGCTCACAGCTGGATTTTTCCTGAGCCAGATGTTTAATGCTGCGGGGCTCAGCCTCACGGAGGGGAATGATTTTGGGGTGAGGCAGTGCCTGGGTTGGGATCCACAGGGGCAGCAGTGCTGTAATGCCTCTGTTTTGATTAAACTGTTAAAGGATGAATTGGATGAACAATAAATTGATGGATCCCAATGAAATGTGTGTTCTCCTTGCCCCAAAGGGAACTGCACCCAACCTCAGCAGTGCCGATGGGTCCCTGTGTTAGACCTGGTAGTGGTGACACCGGTGTCCCCGAGCACAGCAGCAGATTGGGGCCAAGGAGCCAGATTTCCCCATTATGAGCTCTAAAAATAAAGCTTCAGGTTTATGGCAGCATCTTTCTGGCCTCTACTTGCTCTTGACATACGCACATCTCAGGAATGATACTTCAGAGTCGCTGACTAAAAACTGGCTGCACAAATGTAAAAGCAGATTGGGGCCAAGGAGCCAGGTTTCCCCATTAGGAGCTCTAAAAATAAAGCTTCAGGCTTATGGCAGCATCTTTCTGGCCTCTACTTGCTCTCGACATACACACATCTCGGGAATGATCAGAGTCACTGATTAAAAATTGGCTGCACAAATGTAAGTGTAATTGACTGGGAGAGAGCAGATAAATAGAAGGTCAGTGAGGCTTTCTGTTTATTTCTCTTAACTGTGGATGGAAGAATTATATTTTTTTCCTCAGTGCTAATTTAGAGGAGATAAAACCCATAAAAGAGAGACACCAGCTGCATGAAAACAGGAGGCAAACAGACTGTATTTAGAAATATGAACAGGAAAGGAAAAATGTGATATTAAAAAAAATATAGGTAGAGAGTTGCTGCGCTCCCAGGCTCAGAAGGGGGGTTTATTCCAAGTGGGTGCCAGGAGCTGCAGCTCAGGGTTTCAGGCTGTAACGGGACAGGACGGAGGTATCCCCATGTTTAAAGCTGGGCTGGTTTTCCATGTGCTCTAGTGGTGCTGAGGGCTTCGCTGCATCTCAGTTCTCCTGGAGCTGTCAGGGGGACACACAGCGCGGTGGCATTGCTTGCCGGCAGGGTGGCATTGCTTGCCATCACAGTGGCATCACTTGCCATCATGGTGGCATCGCTGGGAGGGTGGTATCACTTGCTATCATGGTGGCATCACTTGCCGTCATGGTGGCATTGCTTGCTGGCAGGGTGGCATCACTTGCCATCATGGTGGTATCACTTGCTGGGAGGGTGGCATCGCTTGCCATCACAACAGCGCGGTGGCATTGCTTGCCGGCAGGGTGGCATTGCTTGCCATCACAGTGGCATCACTTGCCATCATGGTGGCATCGCTGGGAGGGTGGTATCACTTGCTGGCAGGGTGGCATCACTTGCTATCATGGTGGCATCACTTGCCGTCATGGTGGCATTGCTTGCTGGCAGGGTGGCATCACTTGCCATCATGGTGGTATCACTTGCTGGGAGGGTGGCATCGCTTGCCATCACAATGGCATCACTTGCTGGCAGGGTGGCATCACTGGGAGGGTGGTATCACTTGCTGGCAGGGTGGCATCACTTGCCATCATGGTGACATCACTTGCCATCATGGTGGCATCACCTGCCATCACGGTGGCATCGCTTGCCATCATGGTGGCATCACTTGCTGGCAGGGTGGCATTACTTGCCATCACAGTGACATCACTTGCCATCACAGTGGCATCACTTGCTGGCAGGGTGGCATCACTTGCCATTACGGTGGCATCACTTGCTGGGAGGGTGGTACCACTTGCTGGGAGGGTGGCATCACTTGCCATCATGGTGGCATCACTTGCTGTCATGGTGGCATCACTTGCCATCACGGTGGCATCGCTTGCCGGCAGGGTGGTATCACGTGCCATCACAGTGACATCACATGCCATCATGGTGGCATCACTTGCTGGGAGGGTGGCATCACTTGCTGGCAGGATGGCATCCCTTGCCATCACAGTGCCATCCCTTGCCATCACAGTGGCATCCCTTGCCATCACAGTGGCACCCCTGGCCGTCCCCCCGGTCGGTAGCCACAGGGCACAGGGGGAAGGGGCTGCTCACTCGCTGGCAGAGGCTGCGTTTGCTTTTCCAACCGAGGCCATAAACAGGACCCTGTGTCTGAGGCAGCGGGGGCTTCAGGCCAACGGGCCCGAGCGTGTGATTGTCTGGAGAGGCGGCAGGAGGAGGAGGAGGAGCAGGATGGACGGGGGGCGTTTGGCACCTGGACAAACTCTTCCTGCTCCCTGCTCATCGACCGTACAACATACAACCTTAATGACACACGTTTGGTCCTTCACTACGTACTTATATTAACATTATTTCTTCACGATCGTGATAGCTAATGCAAAAAAATACTGTTAAGGAAGAAATAAAATAGGAAAAGAATTAGCAAAAAATTACAAGGTATATACAGCTTAAAATAAATTCCATCGGGCAAAGAAACAATTCTTTTTTATTATTTTCCGTTGGCCCCCGTGGGGATAACTCCAGGGCCAGGCAGGGGCAGGGCTGTGCTGCAGCAGCAGCAGAGGCAGACGTGCTGGGCCCGGAGCGTCCCGTCTCCTCGGCGGGGCCTGGTTCCTCCCGACAGCGTCAGCTCCCGGGCTCCGGGCACCCCGCAGCCTTGTGCAAATACGGGAAGCGGTTGGGGTTCTCCTCACTGGTGGGCTCAGAGCCTTGGGGGCTTTCACAGGGTGTTGTTGAGGGGAAACCCCAAAGGAAGGGTGAACGTCCTCGGGAAAGACACTGGTGCTGCTGAACCCACCTTTGGCTGCGGCTCTACCAAAGCTTCCCCAGATGCTCTCCTCCGCGGGCAGTTGGGGGCTCCTGGCTCCCTACGTGCTCCAAAGAGGGAATTACGAAGGGATTGCTCCAAACACAACCTCAAACAGAGCCGGGGGGGTGCCCAGTTGGGGATCTGTTGGCAGCCCCCATCCCTTGCTGGGGAGATGGTGTTCCTGGGGGCTTTGCTGTGGTCAGCTCAGCAGCTCCATCCCCATCCCTTTCCCAGCTCCTGGGCTCAGCTGGGGTGGGAAAATAACGCAGGGTCAGGGCTGGGGGGGGGGACATCTAAATGGGGATTTGCTTTATTGACCCACGGAAGAGCTTTGTGTCCATCCACACAGTATCTCTGATTAGCACACTTAATTTCAGCTTAGTTTTTGGTGGAGCAAAGTGGGCTGACATAGTCCTGGGGTGAAAACCAGGCTCCTGACCCCCTGCAAAGCCCATCTGGTGGAGCTGGGAATGCAAAGTGGGGGCACTTCCCAATGGAGAGGGTCGGGCTCCGCACAGTCGCCGTGGCCAGCGCTGGTGCCCAACGCCTTATCCCCCACAGCACGTTATAATTTACAGTAAAAGAAGATTGCAAAGTCAAATTAAAATAAAAAAATGATAAAATTCAAGTGAGGTGGTACTTCTGTGGGAGCACGCTCTCTGGTACAGCTCCCCATAAGCACTGTTGCATAAATACCGATTTTGCACCGTACTCTCAGCCCCTCCCCAAGCCCAGCACCCAGAAGATGAAGGTGGGCAAATCACAGCCCTCTGACCAGAAGCCATCCCTCCTGGTGTCCATCCGAGGGCACACAGTGGTCCTGGCGTGCTTGCCCTCGCGGCGTGCCCCGGGGCCAGCCCGTGCCATCCCGGTCACGCTCGGTGCTTCAGCCTGGCTCACACCACCCCAAAAACAGGAGTTTAGTCCATCTGGCAACCATAACCTCTCCTGTGGCTTGTAAACAAGTTCGTTAAGTAGGTGGTTGTCTTCTTCTTCTTCAGGTGGCTGCTTGGGGACACCGAGGGAGCGCTCCCGGCAGCTGCAGGACCTAGTGCTTGACCCCCTGGGGTTGGGGGGACGCGGTGGGCGCCGGGGGCTGCAGGGCTGGAAGGGAAGGTAGGACAGGTCAGGGGATGCCCACAGGACCACCCGCTGGCACTGATTTAGTCCATCTGGCAACCATAACCTCTCCTGTGGCTTGTAAACAAGTTCGTTAAGTAGGTGGTTGTCTTCTTCTTCTTCAGGTGGCTGCTTGGGGACACCGAGGGAGCGCTCCCGGCAGCTGCAGGACCTAGTGCTTGACCCCCTGGGGTTGGGGGGACGCGGTGGGCGCCGGGGGCTGCAGGGCTGGAAGGGAAGGTAGGACAGGTCAGGGGATGTCACAGGACCACCCTCTGGCACTGCTGCTTTGTCCCGAGGTGGCCACCTGCACCCTCTCCCTCCTGGCCAGGGCAAGGTGGGAGCTGGGAGCGCTGGTCCTGCTCTGCTCTTGCAGCTGGGTCTGCTGTGCCACCTTTTTGGGTGAAAATAGGGGGTTCTTCTTACTGACCTGGGACCAAGGAGGTGAGCTCGGCCGAGGGCAGACGAGGTGTACCACCTGCAAAGCCAGTCACAGCATCCTGCCACCCATCCCTGGGACACCCACAGCGGGGGGTCACTCTGAGCCAACGGGCTCCATCGTGGTTTGGGCAGAAATCAGGTTTTTCCACCGAGGTTGGTGCACAGGATCATTTTGTTCCAGTGTGCCCCCCCAAAAAAGAGTGGGGGTTTTTTGGGGGGTTTTTTTTTTAGGTCCTTGCTTTACCCTGGGCACATCTGTGGTTGTCTTCTTCTTCATTTGGGGTTACCCCGGGCACATTTGGGGTTAGGCTACTAAACAGCTTTATTTGCCAGCCCTCTCAGCCAGTGTTCTCCCTCGTGGCTGGGACGCCGGGGAACGAATCCTATCAAGGGAGGGCTTTGGGAACAGGCAGGTGCTAGTATTTTTTTGTTGATATTACCAAAACCACCCCCCCATGGCATGGGTGCCAGCCTGAGCAGGGGTACCACAGGGCACCACAGGACACCCCCTTGCAGAAGCTGCTTTCCCGTGGCCCCCACTGTGGTGCTGCCCCTATATCTTACCTTCCCGACACGTGGGGCCCGTGTAGCCATTCAGGCAGAGGCACTGGCCATTCCGGGCGTTGCAGTAGGAGGTGCTGGGGGCACACTGGCAGGTCAGGCTGCAGTTGGGGCCGTACTGGGTCGGCCGGCAGTCTGGAGGGGGGGTAAAGAGGGGTTTGGACCACTGCAGGGCATCCTGCTTCTGCTGCAGGCAGAAATGCTCAAAGAGCCCCCAGAGCCTGCAGTGGTGGCTGAGATAATAAGGCAGAGAGCTCTTTGCCTCATCTCCCCCAGCCTGCGCTCCAGCTCTGGTGACACAGGTGTTCCTTCTGCATTTAAGCCTCAGCCTTTTGACTCTGGTGAGCTAAAGAGGAAGGCACTGGAGGCTGGGGGCACATTTGAACTCAGGTATGACTACAGGTCAGACAGTGTGATCTATATCTGTATCTATATCATCTACATCATCTATATCTATATCTATCTATATAGAATCATAGAATGGTTAGAGTTGGAAGGGACCTTAAGGATCATCGAGTTCCACCCCCCTGCCCTGGGCAGGGACACCTCCCACCAGCCCAGGTTGCTCCAAGCCCCCTCCAACCTGCCCTTGAACCCCTCCAGAGATGGGGCAGCCACAACTCTGGACAACCTGTTCCAGTGCCTCACCACCCTTACTGTAAAGAATTTCTTTCTGGTATCCAATCTAAATTTCCCCTCTTCCAATTTAAAACTGTTACCCCTTGTCCTGTCACTATGCTTCCTGACAGAGTCCCTCTCTGGTTTTCCTGTAGGCTCCCTGTAGATATTAGTAGGCTGCTATAAAGCTGCTACAGATTATCTATATCTATCTATATCTATATCTATATCGATATCGATATCTATTTCTATATATCTATATCTATATGTCTATATCTATATCATCTATATCGATATCTGTATCTATTTATCTATATCATCTATATATCTATCATCTATATAGACATGGATATACCAGATATCATCTCAGAGTGCTGGCGAGGTGGCTGCCTCTGTTCAGATTCCTTCTTTGAGGGGACCCACCAAAAAGAAAGCCCCCCCCCTTCCATGAGAGTTTCGCTCCAACCAGAGGGGTTTTTACACCCATTTTAGGACTCCCAGCCCCCTGTCAATGTCCCTCTTGCAGGGTCCCCTTTCCCCCCCCTTTCCCAACTCACCTGACCCGCACTCGGGGCCGGTTTTCCCCGGGGGACAGAGGCAGTGTCCCGTGGCCGGGTGGCAGGACGCGCTGCCGGCGCAATGGCAGAGCTGCTGGCACCCCTCGCCGTACGTCCCCTCCGGGCAGCCTGTTGTGAGAGGTGAGAGACAGGGCACGGGGGGCTCCACGGCCACACCTGGGGGTCTGGGGGGAGCGGGAGGAGGAGGAGGAGGACATGGTACCTGTCTGGCAGCGCTCGCCGCCCATCCCGGGGGGACACCGACAGCGGCCCGTGGCTGGGTCACAGCCTGCTCCATGCTCACAGTCACAGCGCTGCCGGCAGCCAGCTCCGTGGAATCCCGGGGGACAACCTGGGATGGAGACGAGGAGGGAGAGCTCGGTAAAGCACACATGGGTTGGACTCAGGCTCCACAGCAAAGGCTCCAGCAGAGAGAAGCAGCGAGCCTGAGGAGAGCTTGGTGCTGCAGGGAGAGGGAGCTCCACGGCTGCCTGTGGAGAAGGGTTGTAGCTCTCCTTTTCCCAGGAATAAACACATCCCAAACGGGATGGGGGAGCAGGACACAGTAGGACATGCAGCCTACAGCTTTGGACAAGAGCTGGGACACAGGGGAGATGATGGGACATGGGTGGAGGACATGTGTAAGGACATGCGTGTAGGACACACAGCCTACAGCTTTGGACAAGAGATGGGACACAGGGGAGATGGGACATGGGAGACAGGACATGGGGAAGATGGGACACTGGAGAGATGGGACGGGTGGGGGACACTGGAGAGATGGGACGGGTGGAAGACACGTGTAAGGACATGTGTGGAGGACACGTGTAAGGACATGCGTATAGGACACGCAGCCTACAGCTCCGGTGGGGGACACATGTAAGGACATGTGTGGAGGACACGTTAAGGACATGTGTGTAGGACACACAGCCTACAGCTCTGGACAAGAGATGGGACACAGGGGAGACGGGACATGGGAGAGATGGGACATGGGTGGAGATGGGACATGGGTGGAGATGGGACACAGGAGAAGGGACATGGGGGAGATGGAACATGGGTGGAGATAGGACACAGGGGAGATGGGACATGGGGGAGATGGGACATAGGTGGAGATGGGACACGGCGGAGATGGGACACGGCGGAGATGGGACACGGCGGAGATGGGACAAATAGGAAGGGATGAAGGATGCACTTATGCAGGCAAAGGGAAGGAGGCATGTGAACAGCTGGTGTCCATGGCCAACAGAAGCCTGAGAACACGTCAAGCACTGGGTACCACCACCAGCAACACCAGAAAGGAAGAGCTCACCACCATGTGTGTGACTGCAGCGGGTCACAACTCCATCCTGTAGTCCTGCCCTATGGATAAGGTTTAAAAAACAAGCCCTCCCCTCGCAAAGCTGAAAGCATCTCAGCTGCCACCACTCACTGTGCTCGCAGAGGGGCCCGTAGTGGCCGGCGGGGCAGCGGCAGGCTCCTGTCCCCGGGTCGCAGGTGGCATTGTGCTGGCAGGAGCAGTGGAGCTGGCAGTTGGCACCGTACCTTCCCGGCGGGCATTCTGTAGGAACAAAGTGGTGGCAGAGATGCTCAGCATCCAGACAGCCGGTCCCGACCCCTCTCCTGCCCTTTTAGAGGGCAAATAAGGCAGAATAGGCACCGTTGGGGACAACAGAAGCTGGACCCAGTATGAAACTGAGTGAGCTCCACAGTTACTGGGCCAGGGCAGGACAATGTATTCAAGTTGGGTTTTTTTTTTACCTAATTCGCAGGATTTCCCCGTCCACCCGAGCGCACACGAGCAGGAGCCATCAGCTGCATCACACAGCCCCCCGTTGAGGCAGGAGCAGGTCTGCTGGCACCCCAAACCATAGTGGTGCTCCTCACAGCCTGTGGGGAGAGAGGCAGTGGCCGTGGGCACGTGGGCCACCATGTGGCTCGGGCAGAAGCCCCCAAGCACCTGCAGAGGTCTCCAGGTGAGGAAATCATTTCCTGCCCAGGACCTCATTTACCTCGCTCACAGGAGGGACCAGTTCTTCCCGGTGGGCAAACGCAGTCTCCGGTGACGGGGTGACAGGTAGCATTGTCCCCACAGGAGCACAGCCCTGCACAGTCCCTGCCGTAGCGACCAGTGGGACATCCTGGGGGTGAGGAAGAGTCCGGTCACACCAAAGCACAGCTGGTGGCATCTGAGGGCTGGCAGGGAAGGACTTTGGCAGATGGAGCAGAGCAACGGGGTGGCAGGAGGAGCCTGCAGCCCCACCACCAGCACATGGGGTGGCCAGCAGGGCAGGGAAAGGGCTTTTAGGATTTAGGAGCGGGGCTTTTTTAGCAGAGAGGAAGCAGCGCTGTGATGGGACAATGCCAAGGCTGGCGTGTCAGGCTTTTCCTAGTGGAGAAATTGTTTTGGCATGAAACAAATCATAGAGCAACGGGGTGGCAGGAGGAGCCTGCAGCCCCACCACCAGCACATGGGGTGGCCAGCAGGGCAGGGAAAGGGCTTTTAGGATTTAGGAGCGGGGCTTTTTTAGCAGAGAGGAAGCAGCGCTGTGATGGGACAATGCCAAGGCTGGCGTGTCAGGCTTTTCCTAGTGGAGAAATTGTTTTGGCATGAAACAAATCATGGAATCATGGAATTGTCAGAATTGGAAGGCACCTCTAGACATCATCCAGTCAACTCCCCGGCCAAAGCAGCGTTGCCATCGCTGGAAACCACCGAAAAGGGTCTGGCTCCAACGTCCTTCAACTCACCCTTTAGATACTTATAAACATAAATAAGATCTCCCCTCAGTCTTCGCTTGTCCAGGCTAACGATAGAGCAATTAAAAGTTTCCTGGGTTAAGACTCTCCACACCCTCCCTGGGCAGCCTGTTCCAGGGCTCCGTCACCCTTACCCCAAAGAAGTTTTTTCTTATATTTGAATGGAACTTTCTATGTTCCAGCTTGAGCCTGTTGCCCCTTGTCCTATCGCTGGAAACCACTGAAAAGAGTCCGGCTCCAATGTCCTTCAACTCACCCTTTAGATACTTATAAACATAAGTATCGCTTATCCAGGCTAATGATATAGCAATTAAATGTTTCCCGGGTTAAGACAGACAGCAAAGAGATCAGCTGCAGCTCCCTCCCCACAGTAAGGCTGGATGTAGGTACAGGGAGGGCATTGCTGAGAGCTCAGGCTGTAGAGTGAGACAAGGAGCTCCTTTTCTGCTGCTCTCATCTCCTTTTGATGCAGGTCACGGTAACACACCTCATCTCCCGCGGGGTCCGCAGGGGGCTGCGTGCAGGATTTGCACCTCCTGCCATTCCCCTGTCCCTGGGGAACCCCCTGGAGCTGCTGTCCCCTCCCCGGGGGACCCGGGCACTCACCCACGCCGCAGTCGGCACCGATGTAGCCGGGGGGGCAGTGGCACATCCCCGTGGCAATGTCACACTGGCCCCCGTTCTTGCACTTGCAGGGTCTCTCACAGTTGTGGCCGTACCACCCAGGGGAGCACTCTGTGGGGGGAGGAAAAAAAACAGGGAAACAATGGCCTCAGTGCCTAAAAAGATGAGAACAAGGGAGTTTTCCAGCAAACTCCCTGGAAAAACCCACCAGGTGGGTTCAAACAGCCATTTCATGGGGTGGGTTTGTGCCAGGCTGGCACGGTCGCTGGGCAATAGTCTGCTTGGTGGCACAAACCCAAGTCAAACAGCTACAGAAACACACCAAGGTTGTGCAAATTATGCTCGTGCATCCCTTGCACAAGTGTATTGTGTGGGATGTGACCTCTACAGCACAGACACCACAAGCTCCTGTGAGCTCCATGCTCAGGTGCCTCTGTCCTGGTGAAGAAACACACCAAGGGTGTGCAAATTATGCTTGTGCATCCCTTGCATGAGCAGATTGTGTGGGATGTGACCCCTACACCATAGACATCACAAGCTCCTGTGAGCTCCATGCTCGGGTGCCTCTGCCCTGGTGGGGCACATTGAAGTGCAGGAATGTGAGAGCTGCTGCGAGGGGTCGCCTGTTCAGCAGGAGTCAAAGAAAAGCCCAGAAAACACTTATAAATAACCCCCTGGCAAACAAGCCACAACGCCAAGGAGCTTCGGAGCGTTCAGAACCTCTCTGCTGAAGATATAGCTGGGAAATATGCAAAAAAAAAGAAAAAAGACCAAAAAATGGCCTGAGGGCAGATGAGAATGATGTTTTGTTTACATGAACTACTCCTACTTGGGAATGAGTCACTGAGGGACACCACAGAGGTCAGAGCTGGGCTTGGACCAGGGAGCAAGAAAGCACTTGCCTGGACAGACTGCGCTGCGAGAGCTGGGCAATGGTCATGAGCAGAACAACAAAAAGACCTTGGCCAAGCCAGTGAGGACAAAGGTGACCATGGCAAGACACCAGGAAGGACAACCTGTCTTTGAAGCCACCCCAGCAAGCTGAGGTTTCTCTGGTGGCCAACTCAGCACCATCCCCACATCAGGGGGACATGGTTCTGTGCGTTGGGGATGAAGCACAGCCTTGGTCCCTGCAAAGGTCCACCCAGCAGAAGAGGACCCACGCGTGGACTCACCCAGCTGGCAGGTGGGTCCGTGGAAGCCGGGGGCACAGATGCAGGCCCCCGTGACCGGGTGGCACTCCTGGGTGGCTCCAGCACACTGGCAGATCTGCTCACAGCCCTCCCCAAAGGTCCCGGGCAGGCAGGCTGTCGGGAGAGAGGACACAGAGGGGGCTCAGATTGGCTTAGAGGGAGCAATCCCACCCCTCTGTGCAAGCCCCCTTTTTTTTTTCCCCTTTCTATTTTAAGCCAGGATTTAGGAAGTCTTTTATGACAGTGAAAGTTCTCTGCCACCCAAAAAGCAAAGGGACCCCCATGCAAACAGTTCCTCGACCCCAAGGGAGCAATCCCACCCCTCTGTGCAAGCCCTTTTTTTTCCCCTTTCTATTTTAAGCCAGGATTTAGGAAGTCTTTTATGACAGTGAAAGTTCTCTGCCACCCAAAAAGCAAAGGGACCCCCATGCAAACAGTTCCTCGACCCCATTAAAGTCCTGGATTGAAAATAAAACTGTACTTAATGGCATCAGACACCTTTTGCCCTACCTACCCTCACATCCCCGCCAGCTCCATCCCCCCAGACACGGCAAATACACCCCTGTCCCCCGGGGGAGGAATGCACTCACATGCCTCTGCCTCCTCCAGACTTGCTCCTACCCACAGGAGCTCATTTTAATACTGATTTATTGCTAATCCTCTGGATAAATACAGAGCTCTGATTTCCCACTTGGCTCCCTGCGCTTCGCTAACATTCTGTGGGCATGCACCCAGCTGCCAAAACGTGAGCTGCTCCTTGGCACAGCTCGCCGGTGGGGCTTTTTTTTGTTGTTGTTGTTATTCTTTTTTGTTTAACTTTCTGTAGCGATTGCTTGACCCGTCATGTTCCCAGAGCCTGTCAGCAGAACTGTAAGAGGATCACTCCCTTCTTCTCGTACGTTTTTCACATCCAGAGCCCGTGAAGCCCGGCGGGCAGCCGCACCGGCCCGTGACGTGATGGCAAGGCACTCCCCGGGGACAGGCACAGCGGCTGGCACAGCTCTTCCCGAAGAAACCCGGCAGGCAGGCTGCAGGAAAACAGGCAAGTGAGTCCCCTGGCTGGCTTTCAAATTAGTGTTAATGCCTGAAAGGTATCAGAGCCTCAGGGCCAGCTCCTGCCCCCAGCACCTGGCCCGCCTGCCATGGGGTGCTGAATCAGCACTTCTTGCAGAAACCCCAAACCTTTTTCATGGCAGGCTGTCAGCTCCCCAAAATGTTTTGCCACAATTTGTACCTCTTATTAAAAATTAAGTTTCTCTCCGTCCCAGGCTCTAGAAGGAGCAAGGGATGCTGGAGGCTGTGCTGCTGGAGGGATGGAGGGATGGTGAGGGATGGAGGGATAGAAGGATGGAGGGATGGTGAGGGATGGAGGGATAGAGAGATGAAGGGATGGTGAGGGATGCTGAGGGATGGAGGGATGGTGAGGGATGCTGAGGGATGGAGGGATGGTGAGGGATGGTGAGGGTTGGAGGGATGGAGGGATGAAGGGATGGAGGGATGAAGGGATGGAGGGATGAAGGGATGGAGGGATGAAGGGATGGAGGGATGAAGGGATGAAGGGATGGTGAGGGATGGAGGGATGGTGAGGGATGGAGGTATGGTGAGGGATGGTGAGGGATGGAGGGATGGTGATGGATGGAGGGATGAAGGGATGCAGAAGGATGGAAGGATGGAGGGATGCTGAGGGATGGAGGGATGCTGGGGGATGGAGGGATGGAAGGATGCTGGCTCACCTTTCTCACAGCGCCGGCCCCTCCAGCCACGGGGACAATCGCAAACGCCAGTGACGTGATGGCAGGAGACATTGTCCCCACAGTCACAGTGCTCTTCACAGCGTGCCCCAAACAGCCCCTCCGGACAAGCTTCGGTGATGCAAACACAGGAGAGAGGATGAGTTAGCCCAAGAAGGTGACATGGCTCTTTTTCACTGCAGTTCCTGTAGGCACACACTTCACTATTCA